ATCCTTTTATGCTTACATTATAGCCCAAGAAGTCAATAGAGTCTTTGTAGAACTGACATTTCTCAACAGAGATTTGAAGGTTGTTTCCTTCGAGAATCGAAAGGACTTTCTTGACATCTTTGTGGTGTTGTTCCTTAGATTCGGAGAAAACAAGTATATCGTGGATATATGTGAAAACACAGTCTACATCCATAAATATGTTGTCCATAAATCTCTGGAATGTAGAACTGCTGTTTCGTAGACCAAATGGCATGAACAGGTATTCAAAGAGACCAAATGGTGTTATCACGGCCGATTTTTCTATGTCTGCCTAATTCATGGGAATCTGGTGATAGGCCTGTAGGAGATCAATTTTCGAAAATACAGTTTTCTTGAAGAGTTTAGATCCGAGGCTGTTAATATTTGGTATTGGATATCTGTCTGGTTTTGTCAACTGGTTCAAATGTCTAAAATCGCCACATACTCGCCATTTTCCTGGGGTTGACTTGGGAACTAGATGTAGTGGCGAAGACCAGGGGGACTTTGACGGTTTAATAATTCCAGCTTGTAAGAGTGCCGCGAACTCCTGTTTAGCTGATTTATATTTTTCTTCTGACAGTTGTCGGACCTTGGCATGATGGGGCGCTATCTCCAGTGTCTATGACGTGTGTTACTTTCGTGTTAGACACTGAAGGCTGTCCTGTACGTGGATTGGTTAGTTTTGGAAATTCTTGGAGGAGGGACTGCACTTCTTCTGGTAGGTTATTGTGGTTATTCACAGTTATACACTGAATCTGTGCGGTGACTCGTCCACCTTGTGTATATCGGTGGGTTTCCTCATCAATGAGCCTACCCTTTTTGCAGTCTAAGATTAGTCCATAGTGGCGCAGAAAATTTGCTCCTAAGAGGGGGTTGACGGTATCCGCTACTACTACGGTCCATGTGTATGAACGGCGTAGGCCCGGAATCCCAATATCCACTACTGCTTCGCCAAAGCATTTAATGTTATTCCCATTTGCTGCTGATAGTGTTACAGGTGTAGGGTTTAAGTTCAGACCGAGTGCCATTCTCTGTGGTAAGATTGTTATAGAAGCACCTGTGTCTATCACAAAATTGATCTTATTTGTGTTAATTTTTGTAGCAACCTCAAATAGTTCGAATTGCCGGTTGCTGATGCAATTCGCATTATCAGTTTTCCAAGGCTTGGGTGGTAGGGTTTCTGGCGGGTGAAGATGGTCTCAAAGTGGGCATTATATGACAGCCGGACTTGTTTGGCCACCTACACCATGGTTTGCACGTCCTCGACTTTTCTGCATAATATAAATGTTCACGACATACTCGAGGCCTCTGGTTCTCATAGAATGGTCCAGAGCTATAGGTCGTTCTAGGCGTGGCGCTGGTGGAGGCAGTAGATCTGGAGTGTCTGCTTGTATGTGGCATAGTGGCGGCTTGTATCATCCTGGGTTTTAAAAATGGTGTTATTTCGTCAGCCAATGTACCCAGTTCCATCAAGGAGGCATTTTTTATTGCTGCTATTACGGGTGTTATTACCGGGGGGAGTGCCTGAATGAACTTATGTCGAACAAGTTCATCTCCGACACCAATCCAGCTTGGCTGTCGACATCAACTCATGGAGATAAGCTGAAGGTCTCCCTGTCATTTGAGTGTTAGCCATTAATTTAGCGAACATCTCTGGTTTTGTCCTCTCGTGTCTGGCCATTACTGCGTCTTTTAATTCTGAATATTTTTTAGACGCTATAACAGCGGACGGTAAGCTGGATATCAATTCTGGAGGTAGAACAGACAAAACATGATAGAACTTGGTTTCTTCACTTGTTATGTGTCGCAGTTCAAATTGTGCCTCACAAATGGCAAACCAACCATCTGCTGCCGTGTGCATAAAGACTGGGATTTTGACTGATATAGCTGCTGCATTTTCTTCCATTTTAGTGACTTACGATACGGCAACAAGAAGGAGGAAGATAAAAGACAAAGCAAGACGATAAAACAAAACTCTGCTGGACGAAATGTATTTGTGTTAATAATTTTTTTTTTAGTGTGTGTGTGATAAAAGGATGAAAGCAATGAAAGCAGTTACTCACGTATTTTTCTCTTTTTTTTTTAAAGTTTTACACAGCACGTGTATGGCTACAGTAGCCAACTTGACCTGTTGTGGTGGTGGAAGGATGGTAAGCCAAGGATTGGTAGTGGGGAAGCAAGCAAAGTCACACGGGGTTAAAAGATTGCGACAGTTAATGTATACTCAGTGTAGGAAGGTTAATATTTTTTTTTTCGTCCCCGAAAACTTGAGTGTAGATGTCACGTCCGGGTCACCATTGTGGATGTTATGGCTATTAGTGCTGGGTTGATTTTTTCACCTAAACATCCAAAAACTTGTTGAATGCCTTCGTCGCTGAAATAAATTGACAAAGAAAAGACGGAAGTATACAGAGACACTAGAGGGACAGTTTAGGACACTGATTTTATTACCTTCTTCTGGATTCCAACGAGCTCTTGTTGGGGAACTTCTTCCCGAACAGTCAAAGTTCCAACAGAGAAAGAGCTAGATTCTTCTAGTTTATCTTTGGCGCCAGGAAATCTTTTTTTTTTTTTTTTTGCACATGCGTAAATTGTCTTTCCTGTCAGAGGACTCCTGGAAGATTTTAATGTTTATTTTATTTTGTACTTTTATTTAATTTTGTATTTTTATTTTATTTTGAATTTTTATTTTATTTTGTATTTTTATTTTATTCCCACATAGTCAGCCGATGAATGTTTCATCCAGCCCTCGTAATTGGAAATAAACAATGTAGAGAAGAGATGAAATGAATGCTTGCAAGAGTTCACTCCTACGTGGTCAGCCTATGAATTTTTCAGCATCCCACTTCGTATTTAAATGGAAGACGCCTGCCTAAATATACGACATTCTCTCTCTCTTTTCGATTTCATTCTGTATATATATATATATATATATATATATATATATATATATATATGTGTGTGTGTGTGTGTGTGTGTGTGTGTGTGTGTGTGTGTGTGTGACCAAGTGGGAAAAATTTTCGTGTGACACGTTTCGACCCTTAGCATTTCATCGAACGACGTTAACCCTCAGCATTTCATCGAATGACTTTGATGCGACTGCACATGCGCACGTACAAAAGATACTAGGAATTTTAAATTTAGAAATTTCTTTATGTGTTTTGCCTATATAAGCTTGCCAATTTTACTTAGATTCTTTTTTTTTTTGTTTTATTTTATTTTTTTTTTTTGTTTCTATAATCTTTGTTATTAAATATCCTATATTGTAATAACACAAGATTTGGCAAGAATGTTGAAACGTTGCAAGAAGCTAGGCGAAAAATCTTCTCGCAGATCTTGTTATTATAATGTCGGATATTTAATAACAAAGATATTGGAAACAAAACGAAAAGAATCTAGATGAAAATTTCTAGATTATATACACAAAAGAATTTTTTAAATTTTAAAATTTACAACGTCTTCCGTCCTTGCAAATGTATAATCTCATCAATGCAAACAAACGTACACCGATGAAGTCCTAACTCCACACGAAAACGTTTTCAACTTTGTCATATATATTTCCTCCAAAAGTGTTGTGGTAGGATCCACCTAATTTGCATAGTGGAGTACCGACCATATAAATATGGTTGGTACCGGGAAGAGAGGAAGGAATCAAGAGATTCAACCAGAGACTCTGCCCGACTGCGACTATGTCAACACACTCTCCAGGAACGGTATTACCAGGAATATACAAAAGACTATATGTAAATATTGGGTACACTTTCTTGTTTCAATACATTTTGTTCTAAGTACATTTTGTGTTGCATTATTATTCCATGCATTAGTCAAGTTTCAGCAAAAAGGTTTCTTCATATTTATAAAAAAGTATATATCGTTATCCTATATATATATATATATAGATAGATAGATAGATAGATAGATAGATAGATAGATAGATAGATAGATGCGCGCGTGTGCCTGTGTGTTTCATTAAAAATGTTTGACAAATATGTTTACCTATAAGCAACCAGCACATCATTTGCAATAACAAAACAAGCTGATGGCTTAGCCGGAAGCATTGGAAAGGAATAATCATTTGGACAATTTTTACTTATGTTAAGTTCCTAATAAAAAATTTCTTGTGCGCACAGAAGGAAAACTCAATAAAATTACTTAACAAAAGTACCTTGTCAGTGATTTTTAATGAAACATGTATTAAACAGAGATTGCTATCAAAATACACGCACAAACACACATATAATTTATATATGTGTGTGCGTATGTGTGTGTACGTACGTGTCTGCGTGTGTTTGTGCATGTTTATATGTATTTTATTACCAACGTGCGCTTTTAAACACATATATATATATATATATATATATTAAGAAATAGACAAAGTCCGACAATTTATTTATTAAAGACATGTTTAACGTTCTTTGTATAGATACAAGTATTTAAGTAAATGCTCTGTTTATAATAAACAGTATTAAATAACATTTACCGGCCTAAATATCCGAGAAATTTGCATAGAAAATATTCGTTCTTTGACAGGATTCGAACCTGCATCCTATACGGAACCGTCATTTACGCTGACGTGTCTTACCGATCGGCCACAAATGTGATATGAATTGTCTAGCCGCCCTAGCTAGACAATCCATGTAGTCGTGTAGCCGACCATTATGCAATGGTTATACTTCAATGGCAAAGGGTAAGTAGATTCATGACTTTTCTGCTGCTAAGTGAACATAATCAACCTCAGCCGAAATTCGAAACTCAGTTTTCAGATTATATTTTCACTGCTGATGGACATATTTGTGTAATGGTTTGCAATCTTGTCTCGCTAGATCAGTTATGACTGAGTTGTGTGTTCGATCCTTATTGGATGCTCTTTCGGCCTTATGCCACATCTAGTCTTCAATCACTATATTTTCACGGTTGATAGCTGTCAGGCTACTTCTCAATTCACTTAATCAACACAACTCGCTCTCTCAATATGTATGCGTTCGGTCATATCACGTTTATACACCGGTTCTCGTACGATCACCAAAGTTGAGCAACGTTGAGCCTGGTCAGTATTTAGATGGGTAACTACTTGGGAATACCAGATGCTGTAAACTTGGATATGCGGGCGATGTAATGGATAACGGCTCAGAATTGGAACGCGGAGAGGTGAGTTTCAATTCCAGGCGCTATCATTATATTAATTTACACGCAAATAGCCTTGGGAAAAGTATGAATTTACGTCTTGTCTCCCATCTATGGATTAATTAGTAGTACTTGTATCAGTAAATTATTATTCTCTCCCTCAAATTCTTACGATTTAAAAATATTTTCTGGCTTTAAATAACCTGCAAAAGGTTGATAAACCGTAAAACAAATATATATATATATATATATATATATATATAGAGAGAGAGAGAGAGAGAGATGAATAAGAGGCATAATGGATAGCGTTTTCGATTGCGGAGTAGGTTACAATTACGTGTAAATACCCTTGGGAAATGTAAAAATTCATCTCTTCCAACCTGACCCCTGCTATAGGTAAATAGCAGGACAGGCTGGCTCCTATAGCGTCCCGTCTAGGAGAGGTCGTTTGCGGATCTTGTGTCGTACTATGTGAACCGGTTCTCTTTCAAAAAGTATAGTTGGTCCCGCAGAAGTCTTCACCACTAAAATCAAATCAAGTTTGCCAGTAGTCTGGCTAATCAATTCTACGAACTCAGTTGCTAAACCCTCATACTTTGAAGTCAACGGAATTTATCATATATATATATATATATATATATATATATATATATATAAAGTGAAAATATTATCATTCATGACATGTAATAAGAACGATAGTTACTGTCTTGTAAAGGTAATATGTTATGTTAAGGGGAATAAAATCAGGTAATATTCATTACGACACGGTTTCTTGGCTGTTAATCTTCAGATGTGGTGAGTATGCCATGATCAAAAAAGGGAAAAAATACCACCACTCGAGGTAGAATTGGACAAATAATTCTTAGAGATAGAAGAAAAGAACGGAGGTTTTCTTGTATATAGCTAAGAGAATCGAGCTGAAGAAATCTAACACAGTATATAGATACTTTTTGTGTATTGGGATGCTAAGTCACGGGCCAATTAAAGAATGCTCACTTGGCAATATTTGTCTTCCAAATCGTTCCTTCCCAAAAAAAAGGCGATAATGCCACTGAGACGCAAGCAGTAAACTGAGAGTGAAAGAAAATAAGAAAACGTTATTGAAAAGAAAAGACAATAAAAGAACAGGATTCAGGAAAACAGAAGATGGCGATTAATGTTGCATTTAAACTTCTGAAGATCGTAGGTGACAGAGATGCAAAAATCCGGAAAAGAGTTCCACAAGTGAGTCGTGCGAGAGAAGAAATTATTAGAATAGAACTTACGATTATGTATAGCTTTTTCAAAAGTAAAACGATGAAACCTATTTGGTAATCTAGTACAACGTCTAAATTCATTCGAGGTACTAATGAAGAATGAAACAATTGCCATGAAAATATTTATAGAAAAGATAAAGAGAAGCTACGTCACGGCTTTGGCATTCAAATATGGAAAATACTTAAATCACTCCCAGTGGAAAAAGATGAGTTTGAGATTGCTGAGGACAATTACAAAGTGTTCGCTTCCACAAACAACTGTTAAGAAAGTAGGTGAAATACAGTTTTTTGTTTTTGTTTTTTTATCACAGGAAGTGAAACAAAAGACGAAAATAAAAATGAAGAAAGAAAAAGAAAAATGAAGAAATTCAAAATGAATTTTTAATTAATTCCAATGATTCATTTTTGCGACATCGACAACATATTGTGAATAAGCACAAGCAGGGACACATAAATAAGGTCATACAAAGATTATAATCTTATGGATTACGAATCAATAAAAATGCATACTTGGAGTATTCCAATTAAACTTTCTAGGATAAACGTATTAAGAAATCTGGGATCGATCTACGACGAGACAGTAAAGAGAATACAGTTTTTTCCAGGACCCACACCAATTCGACAATTACAACACTTTGTAGTATTAATCAGTCACGGAAAATCTATTTTACACTGCTCAAAACTTTAGTCAAACAAACAAAAATCCGGAAATGAAAAAAAACAACAAAAGAGACTGTTGAAACTAAATTCTTGAATTAAAACAATCTCCTGATAAATATTCTTCCTCTATTCAAAAATGGAATAAATAAGGACTGCTCCGAAGTGATTTCAGAGCACCAAGGTTATATCACCTATCTTAATTGCTTCTTGTTTTCTAGTAAATCTTGGCTAGTTTAGAGTTCCTTCTCATTGCTCTATGAGTATAACCAAAGTTATGAAGATACTGTATTAGGGGACAGAGATTCATAACACCGCCTTCGGGGGTCTTGGCAATGAACATCCTTCTTTGAATATTGTGGATTGGCGCTAGATTCAAGAACAAAGAACTGTAGACAACTTCTACCTGAAAGAAGAACAGCAAACAGATTTGAAGAAGCTAAAAAATCCTTTAACTATACCAAACTTAGATATGTAGCGGATAAGGAAGAGATATACTGTCAGTAGCAATTACAGGACATGTTATAGGCACAGAATAATAAATTTTGTCCCATTTGCTAAAGTGAGTAAAATAGAACAGAATTGTATTCTTGAGAGAATTATTATATTTATCAATAAAAATAAAATTCAGTTGACTATTAGGAAGAAAGAACTTCATAGTTTAGACAAGCCTTATTAGACAAGCCTTATACAAGCCTTAGACAAACATTACACACAGCCACAGACAAATATTCTCCAACAATTCGATTACATATCACAAAAGGTTTCTGATATTAGATGCATAGCAGGTCGATCCAACATTATCTAGAGCACATAATAGCAAAAATAGATAATACAAAGCTTAGCTATAAAGCAATCGCAACAGAACAAAGTGAGATTGACTTCAACGCGCAATTCAGAAGATTTCACATCAACCGAATTATGGGCACCGTTTTTACAAAGAACCTACGCTACAATACTCAGCATTTTACATTCCAGTCACTCGACGATGGAGAGATTACAATATTTCCCATAATTTATCCCAACATAGCAAAAGGGAAACAGTATTTAAGTAGCACTTCTGCTAAAGTGAATCACCCGGTGGGGACCTGATTAAACAACAATGGAGAGTTTGAGAATTTATGACAGAGAGATTAGCTTGGCCTAATCTCAATGCAGACATACAGTATTGGACTAATAATTGTCCTCAGTGACAGATACAAGATCAACTATAAACATCTTTACCCCTCTAAATGTTTGTTTCACCAAAATACACATCGATGTGATTGGACCAGTCCCACGTTCCAACTGCTACAACTTTATCTGTAACTATCAGTTGTCAATCCTCTCTGTGGCTTGTTGTTGCTTGTATCTGAGACAAACTCTGCAGAGGCAGTAACTACAGAAGTATTAAAACTAACAGGGATGGACAATTCCAGCTTCTTCTTTTCCTGGAAATGACTACATTACTTGGTATTAAATGCATAAAAACTACAGTATATCAAGTTTATTCAAATATCTAGAAGAGTGATTACATTGGCAACTAAAAGCATTTCTGGTAATGCAGGATAGTCATATAATCTGGGCTGAAAATTAATCCTTTAATAGATTATTGTTACGTAAACAATCAATTATTATCTGAACTGTACATCTACAGAATTAGTCTATGGTCCTACACTACTTCTACCTGGTCAGTATTTCGAAGGAGATATCCCCTCTTCATGATGGAAGGTCGTGTTTTTTAATCAGACTTGGGATTCAAGTTTACCCAAGACATCCTGGAACTCACATATACGATCCATTCTGAAGAAGTTAGAAAAAGTGTTGGTTCTCCTCATCTTTACAAGAATCAGGTCAGATTTATTTTAATGGAGTATTGCTGCTACATGCGGACTGGAGCTGCTCAATCCTCACTTTTCTGTCTTGTCAGAGCTGAAAAAAGCGTCCCCGTGGACTTGTTAATGGTGAATTACTTTCAACTATACAGTCACTTTCCCACAGACGAGTCATTAGCCTCTAGCTTTTCTATCATCTATGGTAAATGTTCTTACAAGCTACATTCATTAGTTCCACCATTTTAGACCTTTAACGATAAGACCCGCCATGTCAGTTGCACGGAGTCGAATCATCATCATTCCCTTCGTATTGATAAGAGGGAAATTACATTTGGACAACTTCTTCTCAAGAACAACCATTTTGTGGAATAAACGACGCTTTTTCCGATCACTACAATTTTAAACTCTTCAAGTCAAAGGTCAACTGTTATCTATCCTACATATCCTCATAATATAAACTTTTTATATCAATACAATAAGCTCATTCAGTAACCGTCTACCTTGGGTAGCTCTTGGGCCTTGGGAGAACATTTGTCGCTACAGACGCTAAAAGGAACTTTCCACGAGGCATTGCAAGTGACAATTAAAAACAAAACAATATATAAAGAAGATATACGAAGATTGCGTTTAAGCATGAAACAGACTGTCACCGCTGGGTGTTGACCTCAACTTTTATATTTACATACGCTATATCCTGATATTGAGAACTTTAACTTTTAAATATAGCATACCTTGAAACAATATTTTTATCATATGTGTGTATGTGCGTGTGTGTGTGTAGATCTCATTGAAGATGGCTAACAAGGCTCTGCGATTAAGATTTATTTTATATTTTTTGCATGCATACAAGAGATTTCTTTGTGTGGTTGTTGTTGTTTTTTTTTAATGGAACCTTTATAAAATCTTAAATCTGGTATCGTTGACAAAACTAACTTGGCCGCCGGTCTCGAAAAGGATCCCCAATTTGTGGTTGATTGGGGCAAGAAAATGGCTTGTAAATTTCAGTGCCTCCAAAACGAAACTGCTCTCATTTATCCACCACAGATAATCCGCCCCGTCTCCCGTCAGAATGGTTGATACTCAACTCGACGAGAGCGCCTCGTTGCACCTGCTTGGTCTCACGCTGTCAGCTGATATGAGGTGGAACAAATACATAGACTCAATAACTTCATCTACCGCAAGAAAATTTGGTTCTCTGTGTCGTGCCAGTAAGTTTTTCTCGTCTGAGTCCATCCTTCAATC